AATTGTTCTTTCTTGACTGTCTAACACTTAACTTTTTTTTCCTTGCCTGTCTAACATTTAACTTGTTTTCGTAAACTTTTTTTTTCTTGACTGCCTAAGGGTGCGTACAGACTATGTAACATATTATATAACTTGTGTTTTATAACACGTCCACATTATGTAACCTTGTTATTCAACATTATAACATAAAACAATACTGTACACATTAGAATAACAATGCAATATAACAATGTTATATAACCATTTTAAATAACAAAAGAAAAACAAAAAAACGGGTCCTAGCATACATATCAATAACATGTTATTATAACATGTTTTATAACATTCAGTGTCCACATTATCTGAAACATGTTGTATAGCAATGTTGTATAACATGTTATGTTATATAGTCTGTACGCACCTTAACATTTAACTTGTTTTCGTAAACTTTTTTTTCTTGCCTGCCTAACATTTAACTTGTTTTCGTAAACTTTTTTTCTTGACTGCCTAACATTTAACTTGTTTTCGTAAACTTTTTTTCTTGACTGCCTAACATTTAACTTGTTTTCGTAAACTTTTTTTTCTTGACTGCCTAGCATTTAACTTTATTTCATAAACTTTTTTTTTCTTGACTGCCTAACATTTAACTTGTTTTCGTAAACTTTTTTCTTGACTGCCTAGCATTTAACTTGTTTTCGTAAACTTTTTTTCTTTCCCTGCCTGCTAATATTTCACTTGTTTTCGTAAACTTTTTTTCTTGACTGCCTAACATTTAACTTGTTTTCGTAAACTTTTTTTCTTGACTGCCTAACATTTAAATTGTTTTCGTAAACTTTTTTTTCTTGACTGCCTAGCATTTAACTTTATTTCATAAACTTTTTTTCCGTGCCTGCCTAACATTTAACTTTTTTTTCTTGGCTGCTTATGATTCCAGTAGTTTTTTTTTCTTGACTGCCTAACATTTAACATTTGTTTGTAAGCTATTTCTTGACAGCCTATTATTACAATTTTTCCAACATACCAAAAGTTAATTAACTTACATAGAACATGACTTCCCGTATGTTGTAGCGTTTGTGGAACTCGTGGAGACCGTAAAATCGTACGTTAAGCATATAATGGGTGTACTCGAGCGAACCCAGATGAAGCACCATAACTTCCTCGCATATTTGCTTCTTGCATTTTAAATGTTGTGTTCTAAAAAATAAATGTTCTAAGGTCTCTTACACGTTTAGCAAATAAAAATAGATATTCGTATGATTTTCAATAATTACCGATTTGTAGCTTCCGTTTCCGGTACAAGGTTTGTAGTAGTGTGATCGCTGAGAACGCCATCTATCGATATACTCACTTGGAAGCTTTTGTCAAATATCTCTTCTGTAAACGAACAAGATATTGAGTGGTATTAAAGAAATAAAATCAGTAGCGCTACAAAATTTTTAGGTCTGGGCCTCAGATGTCTGAATCGGTTTCATGATCATTTGTAAATCTAATAGGCATAAGTAGGTAATCAGCCTCCAATGCCTGACACACGCCGTCCACTTTTTGGGTCTAAGGCAAGGCAGCTTCCCCAACTTCACTGTTCGAGCGAATCTTAACGAACATAGAACGAAAGTCCATTGGTGCACAAACGGGGATCGAACCTACGACCTCAGGTATGAGAGTCGCACGCGGAAGCCTAACACTGCTCTTTGATTGGTAGTACAAACTTAAAAAAAAAAAATTGTGCGTGTACTAGGTGTACACACGTAAGAAGTGAAACTTCTTTATGATCTTATTTTTCGAAAAATGATCTACTATATGCAACTTTACAGAAATTCGTTAAATTAGATAAAGTTTAACAAAAGGCTTTTATTATCATAGACATGAATACAAATATTTCATTTTACCTTATTACTACGAAGATTATTATAGAATTTCATTAATTGCAATAGAATTATTACTATCATTGAAAAACGTGACGATTTGCTACAAAATTTCTCCCATACGTCGATAAAGACGTTTCATTCCAACGCCGATAAAGAAGTTTGACTTCAAAAAGCAACATGGCGCGTAATCGAAAAATGTGACGCGTAACGAAAAAATGTTACACTAAATTTTTTTTCCAACCTCGATAAAGAAGTTTCACTTCAATAAAAACGAAATCTATATAAATAGTAGGTAAAATCTAATAAAAAAAGTATTTTTGAAGTGAAACTTCTTTTTCGACGTATGGCAGATTTTTTTTAGCAAATCGTCACGTTTTTCGGTTACGCGCCATCTTTTTCTTGTCCCGACCACGGTTGATCCGAAGAGATTCGAAGCCATTAATAACAAAAATATATAATAACGATAACAGTGATAGTAATAATTCTATTAATGAAGTTCTGTAATAATCTTAGTAGTAATAAGGTAGAATGAAATAATTGTATTATTTGTATTCTATTCTATCTTTGTCTATGATAATAAAAGCCTTTTTTTAAACTTTATCTAATTTAACTTTATTTAACCAATTTCTGTAAAGTTGCATATAGTAGATAATTTTTCGAAAAATAAGGTCATACAGAAGTTTTACTTCTTACGTGTGTTACAGAAAACACGAACTTACTTTCAAATAGGTATTATTTGTGCGTAATTTACACGATATTTCCAGAAATTCCATTGTATTTTACGTGAATGTCAAAAATTTCATTGTTAAGTGATACCGCCGCCCATGGACACTCAATGCCAAGGGCTCGCGAGTGCGTTGCCGGCCTTTATTATTTTATTTCTATTTGCTTACCGGGAATAAGAAACTCCTAATGATATACAAAAATAAACTACAAACTCACCATCATTATTATCAGTTACGATCTCAGCCAATAGCCACAATTGTTGGACACGCGTGCCCAAAGCTGGACTGTGCAGGTGAAAGGGACCACTAAATATCGAGGAGGCATTCCTGAGGACACTTGCCCCTGATATTGACGTGGTTATAGTGGGAGAAGGGCCTGCAAATTATTTAAAATGATTAATTCTGCATTTTAAATAATATAGCGTTTAAGTGTTTTATACTTAACGGAATATGGTTAAAAGGAGTATTAAGAATATCCAAAGCGCAAAATCACCTCCATCATGAGCATACCCCACATACACATCTTCACGTACATACCCTCACTTTTACACCATCACACAATACAGCCAAATTAGGTATTACTAAGTTAATAAATTTTTTTCCCCTTATTGTAAATAATATGTATTCCTTTTAAAGAAAAAAATTGTAGGCAGGATTTACTTAATGTATTTCATCTCTGGATATATTTTTAGTGTAATTGTTTGTTATTATATATAATTATAAGGATTACGAAATAAATATAAATAAGTTAAAGATTTTGACCTGCTAATCCTATGAATACTCCAAGACCGAAACAAGCAAAAAATGCTATAAAAACCATTACAAATTCTCCTTTGTGCATCGAATAAACTCTCATCTGAACGGACCTGAAAAGGAAAAATATTTGAAAAGGTTTATTTCCTTTTAATAAAAAAATGGAAAATACATACCTCTCACAGCGATCGTGATGATAAGCGGGGGCTATATATTTATTAAATTCGCTAAACAAGTCACTAAATTGTGACAACGTATTGCGAATTTTATAATTCCATCCACCATTTGGTAAATGGTAGGAATATCCTACATTGGCCGTATCCATTATTAATTATACTAATAAATACAACAAAAACAATAAAATGTAACTATAAAGTGACTAAAAAGCAAAACATACGCGAATTTACGCGTAATTTTCTTGGGTACGGTGTAGCGCGATGCTTGTTTACAAGCATTATTGATTTTCGCGGTAATCGGTACAAGTCATAGACACGCCATTTTGATTGGATACTAAAGTGACGTGGCTTTAAGACAATCACAGATTAGGGTTATTTTTGGTGATATAAATTCGTTAGCTATATATATTACAAAAGTCTATTAATTATTATTAAATCACTGTTAAGTGATGGTGTTAAAAATAAAACTACCGCTGTCATAACTTTTGTCAAAATCATAGATTTTGTCAGAACTGCAAACATTCAGTTCAAATGTCTATTTTCTATGTTAGATGAAAACTATTTTATACACAGGTAACACAATCAAACTACGAGTATAATTACTTCAAAATCATTTATTAACACAGTTTCACAACAAATAATGACCACATTTTAGCTTAGCATATAACTAATAATTAATTTACCTAATATTTTATTGTAATTTTTTTATTAATTAAATACATTATTTAACACTGGGTCTTTAAACAAATTATAGGTGTTTAAAATAAAATGAATAGCACTTTTAGAACGATATATTATTCTCTTCATAAACTCTAAGTATGACTCTCGTATGTATCTATCTTTTTGACATAGGTACGGAAGTCATACTAAGCGCTAAATCTCATGTCTAGTACAGTCAACTCAAATACAACAATGCCAACTAGCTATATTTTATTATATTATTTTTATAGCTTTAAATTTGAGCAGTTCGTATATTTGGTTCATCTTTATTTGGTTTAAAGGACGGCTTTGAATTGAGGTTAAAAAATTCCTTCACACTACCCCTTACCATTTAGTAATTTTCTATTAGCGTGAGAATTTTCTAAGTATAGATTTTTATAATACATAATTGCAAGTTTTTTAATCATGTATTTTATCATAATTCTAAAATATACGAAGAATCTGTAATATTTACAAATAAATAGACTAAACTGTGTACGATTATCATGAGAGTAAAGAAAAGACAACGAAAAACAATAGTTTGAACACAATCGATATAAAACCTATTTCGCTATACCTTTTCTTTACTCTGTGGCATAGACAATTTTTTAAAATTTTATTCTTAGTCTATAACAACACAGCCTTTAATGCATTTTATAAGAAAAAGCTTGATTAAATAAGAAAAAACACTGATTAGGTTTAAAAAGAATCGTCTTACGATTTGTCCTTATCGTAAATTAAGATTAAAATTGTGAAAATACAAGGTGGGTTGCCATTTTAAATATATAAAAGAGTAATGTTGTCTATGTGCTGGCAGTGGTGTTATCGGAGATTTTAATTGTGATATTCTGCGACCATGGAGATTCTGTCGTTGTTACGTTTTGTGAAGCGTATTCTGAAATTAAGGTATTCTAATAAATTAATTGGTGGCGCGCTTTCCGGATTTGATGGAAATACAATGTCCCATGGCCTCGTAAAGGTTTACTTATATAAAAAAAATATGAATTATTTCAATAAAATACTAAGTTCTATCAAAATATAGATAGAAACAAACTGACTTCGACTGTACATATTTGAGAAGTAGATAAGGATGGCTATATGAGTAGAGCGAGAGAGAATCTTTTTAGAATGTAAGAAATTTTAGAATTAATACGTAAAATCTTTACCTTGTAAAAAATTCTCGAACCAGTTATTAATTCCTCTAGAATAAGTCTGGATCCAGTCAATCCTAAGTGTGGCAGTATCTACGATCTTTTGCAGGGTTTGAGACATCGACAACAATCTCTCTTTGTGCTGCATCGCGAATCTTTTTAACTATGAAATTCATTAATATATATAGTGTATATATATTATAAATATAATATATAGCAGGTATAAATGATGGCATTTTGGTATAGACTAGAGTAATTTGCGCGCGGTCTAGCAAAAAAATAATAGACAATAGAAGCTCTTTGGTGACAATTGACATTGCTCTTCATGAGGTGTTGTTTTTTTTAATTACCATATTCTGTGTAATATACATTATAGACGTTTTATTTTCAAAAATAAAAGCCTATGCTAAATGTTTAGCAAAATCATTTATAAAACAATAAAATATATAAAATCTAGGTATATAAATTGATTACTGAAGGTAATTGTTATTTTTGTTATTAAACCAAACTAAAGCCACTTGAAGATACACATTATCCAAAAAAAAACTTACCTTATCCAACTCATCATTGTCTGCAATAAACCCGAACACCATGTTCAATATATTGGAGAAAGTAAACGGGTCCAATTCAGTGAACACCCTGTACACTCTGTCAAAATTGCGTATGAAGAAGCTCTGAGTGAGGTGAGTTCCTTCGGGCGGATCAGCCCCCCACACTGTTGCCGCGTATTGCTTAGGGATCTCGGTTAAGCTCTTTTCTAGAAGGCTGTAAAACAAAAGTAAATAAAAGGTGTTCAAAAACGGATGTTAATAATTTAAATCCTATCATGATCCATCAAAACTGCGTGAATATCACAAACTAATGAGCCTATTTTGATTAAAATTGGAAAAAAATGTACGTGATCAAAATTTTTACAGTTCCCAAGAGTTGAGCAAGAAGAACTGGCAAGAAAGACTCTTTTTAAATACAAGTTTTTGGTTTACAAGGTCTTGTAAGGAAATTCAATCATTAAGTGCAAATCAAACAATTTGTATGACTCAAAACTTGGCGATTAAAAAGAGTGGCAGAGAGTTCCTGCCAGTTCTTCTTGCCCGCTCTACGCCCTTGCCTAGCGAACTGGTAGTTAATGTAGATTTTTATGAATATCTTTTCTGTTGACGTTCATAAGTGTACTTGAATACCTATGAATAAAGTTATTTTGAGTTATTTGAGTTATCTCGCCATGCTCTTCTTCACATATTGAAACTATGAATGCATCCAGTAACATAACACCTGTGTACATCTGTATGTGTTCTAATAGGCAAGTATCATTCTTCTGAATCTGACCATCTATATATGTCCAAAATATATATTTTTAATTTCATAAATTTTGATCACCCTCGATTAATATTATCTCGGCCGATCGTCACATTTGATTCAGTTTTTTGTTTAGCTTGGGTTATGCTAGACGCATTTGAAATTGATTATATCTTTGCCAATTATATTTATTAGGTACGCCTTCACTTTTATAATTCCTTAGTGAACTATTTTGAGCAAAAGTATTAGTATATTATCAGTGTAACCGCTCTTATTGTTCCCATACGAATTCCTTATCTTTACGACTGACAGTTGTGTGCCTTTCTGCATGTTAAGAATATATCGAAACGTGGTATGTACTTAGGGCTTATTATTTACAGTTAAAATTGTGTATGAACGGCTGCCGGACTGTTCTGTGTGGTACGTAATTTATTTCAGAAATAATAAATGTCCAGGTATACGAAACAGGGTCAGAAATCGAATCGAGGTCGGAATAGGTAAAATACCATTTATTAATATAGGTAAAACAACGTACACGTTACGAATATTAAGTGTAAACTCTTTATAACGAATTTCAAGGGACCGAGCATTTTGCTTCGTAATACAGAGTTACGTTATAAAGAGTGAAGCAAGATATGGGTTGTGTTAACAGTTAAACCAAACAAATTTAACTCGTTTTTGCGTTATAGAAGGGTTTTCGTTATAACGAAAACGTTATAAAGACTTTACTCTGTAAATGATAATTCTAAAATCGTATTTGAGTCCTTCCTGTTTGTAGTGCAAAAACATTGTGACAATTGACTTACAAGGTGATAAGTGACTCCTGCCGAGTGCTGGGTAAATTGGTGATGATGAGCGTCTTCACAGCCGGGTCAGTGCTGTTCTGGAACACGTCCCAGAGGAACAGGAATTCCTCACGACCGCCGTGACGTATCGCGATGTTGTACACCAACGATCGGAGATAACTTGGGATGCTGCAATTACATGGTATAGTTTTTTGGAAAGTTTGGAAATTTTGGAATCGACAATCAAGGCTTTTTAATTAACTTAACAATTTTTGAAGGGAGTGTTTGAGAATGATGTTCTATTTAGGCTTCCAAGACACTTTTTTTGTATACAGGATGTTACACAAATTTCGCGGAAACTAAGTCCAAACGATACGATCAAAATCTATGTCTCCAGAGCAGTCTTCATCGAATTGGGTCCATGATTTCTGTGATGGCGAATGCCCATAACGCATCCAAAAATGCGTGGCTAGGTGTGTTAACAATTTAAGGTAGGTATAAATTGTGATGACGGAATCGCAAATAGCAAAAAATTTAAATTGGGTAATACCTTGGAGGAGGCAGACATTCAAATGTAAAATTATTTGCAGCGCACCATGTGGAACCAGCCGTCCACTAAAGTATTTCCGAACCAATTCGGCTTAGGGTCCTTCAAGGAAAGAGCGTACCAATTCTCTCTTTCTCAGATCTCTCTGGCATTGATAGTGTCCATGGGCAGCGGTATCACTTAATATCAGATGAGTTTGCCCCCTGTTCTATAAAAAAACACAACTGAAGAGTTAGTCCATACTAGTACTTACGTATTATTCTCCGGATGTTGCATCCAATTGCGGAACTCGCTCTGGGCCCAGTTGAGGCATCGAGGCGCCTCCACCATACACTCCCAGAGAAGCAGATTCTCAATTAAGAGGGCTTCGTTATCATCCGCGGGCTTCGATAAACCGTAGTTAAGAGTTTTTAATTGTTTCTCTATGAGTAATCTTACGTAATCCTGTAAATATTACTATGTTAAGGGACATATTCAAATTCAAATTCAAAAATCATTTATTCACGTAGGTAACACAATGTACACTTGTGATTCGTCATTAAAGAAATAAATATTAATGCTTCTAATTTTACATTTACTGCCAGTTCTCAAATCAACGGCGTAGAACGGAAGAGAAGAACTGGCAATAAAAACCTCTTCCGCCATCTCTTTTAGACAACCACTAACATTCAAATTATTTTTAAAAAATAAAAATTTTTATTTTTGAAAACAAACCCAAAAAAATTTTTTTTTTTTTTTTAATCGCCATGTGTTTTTTTTTTTTTTTTACAAAATTGTCCGTTTGGGCCCCTGGCGCCCAATTCCTTTATCTCTTTATACCTAAAATTCATTATGTGGTGTAAGGAGCTGCAACCATTACACCATGTTCCACATGACATTTTAAGTAATGTATGTCCAAAATCCGTTCAGATTTGTATTCAAAAACGCTTCAAGACAATTTTGAAGGTTACGCCAAGGGAGCGTTCAATACTTGAGTATTACGTAAGGAATTTTGGGAGGGGGGGTCCTTTTGTAAAACGTTACGATGCGGGACGGGGATTGAATTACGCGTTATTTTTAATATTATTTTCGACTTTCCAGTTCTTTACACCACATAATGGTAACTTTTAGGTATAAAGAGATAAAGGGAATTGGGCGCCACCAAACGGACAATTTTGTAATTAAAATACATATATACACAGACGATTTATATGAATAAAGTTATTTTGAGTTTGAGTTATCATGATTGATATTTTTTTTTTTTAATAATTAATTGAATGTTAGTGGTTGTCTAAAAGAGATCGCTCGAACGCGGTTTTTATTACCAGTTCTCTTCCGTTCTACGCCCTTGATTTGAGAACTGGCAGTAAATGTAAAATTAGAAGCATTTAATGTATATTTCTTTTTTGACGTTCATAAGTGTACATTGTGATACCTACATGAATAAATAATTTTAGACTTTTGAGTTTTGATAAGGCCAGTTGCCCTCATTTTTAATTAATTATTGCTGCAACGAAGTGTATTTACACTTCGTTGCTTGATTTATTTAAATAATTGTAAATAATTTCGACGCTTCGGTGAATTTGTGACCAATTTTACACAAAGTTCTTTAATAATGAATTAAAAATAAAACGTTAAACATACTTGAAAATACATATATCCGGAAGTGGTCTTCAGGTTGTACTTCAAAAACGCCATATTATCCAACAACATGTCCCAAACAATTTTCGAATCCTCCCCGTTTACGACGCAGCTGGTTAGACCCAGTGCGTAGCTGTAATTCAACAGATTCGCTTTCGCCAAGTTGAAGGCGTCGTCTATTAGTTGAGCTTTCGCTATGGAGTCATTAATGTTGCCAGCTTTTAATGCTTTACTTAGAAGTTCCCAATTCTTTTGATCGTAATTTACTCTGTAGTAACCTAAATTATAAAATTAGTGTCATTAAAGCGATATTAAGAAATCATAATCATTCATTCTGGCTATTTTTTTTAATTTACGTTCAATGGGGCATGAATTTCTTTTGTAGGTTTGTCTCTGATCATTATTATCGTATCGTCTCAAATTGTTACCTATTATTAATAGAAATTATATTTTCTTTTAACTATAAACATTTTAATACCTTCTCGGACCAACTACCCACATTATTTATTTATTTTTTAAAGGTATCGACCCAAATTATGAATGCCGATTTGCTACGCTTAGAAAACTAAGTTTGAGTAAGCAATGTACAGTCTTGGCTCGTACACTTTGTAATATTATTATAGAAAGTTTCTGACAACTGTTCAAAATTACTTATAAAAATCCTAATTATTTTAAAGTAAATTTTATAAATTTTATACCAATAGCTCCGATATTCACGTACAAAGCCTCCGAATCGTTCAAAGGTATTTTAGTTGTCAAAGATTTATCCTTCAGCCACACTTTGGGCTCGAGTGACCATTTGTCGCTGGGAGTGAACGACGAGGCGTAGGTTATGGGAATCTGCCAAATTTGCTTCTCCATAGATTTGTAGGGTTTCTTTGTACTCGTGAATAGACGCTGTAAATATAGTTACTAGTATAATAATAGCAAATAAAACCATCATGTCTTGTACCTCCCTCCCCCTCTCTTGTTTAAAGAGTTTACTCCACTCTCAACGACCGGCGACGCAGTCCATGAACAATACACCAGTATTGTCTTGTGAAGGCTGTGGCTGTGGCATAATTGTTGGAAGATATGGAGAAAGACAAGACAACTGGTGCGATGTCGGGATGGTAGCTAGGTAAAGCATATCATACATATATATTTCTTAATTGAAGATTTTAGGAGACAATTTTTTTAATGCATTAAAACGAGTTATAATTAGGTCAGGTCAGATTTTTGTACCTGTATCATGATCATTTGTCAATCTAATAGGCAAGAAGGTAAGCCTCCTGTGCCTGACACACGCCGTCGACTTTTTCGTCGGTCTAAGGCAAGGCGGTTTCCTCACGATGTTCTCCTTCACCGTTCGAGCGAATATTAAATGTGCACATAGACAGAAAATCCATTGGTGCACAGCCGGGGATCAAACCTCACAAATGAAGTTGCACGCTGAAGCCACTAGGCCAACATTGCACTGTAATATGTAGTGTTTTTAACAAAAAGATAAAAATGTTAACAGTCGGCCTTTAAACATATTATATTTAATCATACCTGTTCAAACAAAACTTGTCCGTTACTATAGTCCCGTCTTACGAGTAAAACCGGATATCCGGCTTGTCTTGTCCACGAGTTCATGAATTTAACCAACGAGACATCCTTTAAAAATTCATCATTCACTGTCGCCTCGGACATCGCTTGCCATAGATCGTTTTCTTCTGCGTTCTGGTATTGCCTGATAATACATTTTCAATATCCATTTAATACTAACATTTAATACCAACTAATACTATTTCCGTTCTACGCCCTCGATTTGAGAACTGGCACTAAATGTAAAGTTAGAAGCATTTCATTTCTTTTTTTGACGTTCATAAGTGTACATTGTGTTACCTATATGATTAAATGATTTTTGACTTTGATTTACCAAGATTTATTAGAAATGGTTCAGCAATTTAAATGAGAAAACTAATATAAATTACTTAAATGTCGCCAGATTCCAACCATTCGAATTAGTGTGCACGTTAGTCTTAACTGTGTAAATGGAAAAATAGAACACAAGAACAGAGACTTCACCTTAATAGAGACTCTAAGTCAGTGTTTCCCAGCGGGCCCCACGCCCCACAGGGGGCAAATCTATTGTTAAGGGGCTATACAATTTTTTTTAAATTTATTTGGAATTTGAATTTCACTCATTCAATGTCCATGCGTCGGGTTGTCTCTCTCCCTAAAATATGGCGAGGGGGCCGATGGCTGGCCATGCGTCATGCTCGTGAACGGGTGCTGCTTGTGGTGACTGGTCTTACTTGAATTCGTGTATGCGGTGATGTTGGTTATTTCGACTATGTGTTTGCGTGTTGTTCCCACGAGAATGTAAGTGCGTGCTCCTATTTCACCATGCCTTCTGCTGATAGAGGACAAATCTTTGTTTTTAATTTATGTTATTATTATTAATTACTTAAAATGTCACATGGGACATGGTGTAATGGTTGCAGCTCCTTACAAACATTTTGTAAAACAAAAAATGGCGATTAAAAAGAGTGGCGGAGAGTTTATTGCCAGTTCTTCTCTCCCGTTCTACGCCCTTGATTTGAGAACTGGCAGTAAATGTAAAATTAGAAGCATTAATATGTATTTCATGACAAGTCATAAGTGTACATTATGTTACCTATGTGATTAAATGATTTTTTATTTTATTTTTTTAATGTTACATATATATAAATTTTGTTAGCTGTAGGATTACGAAATTAAATAAAACTTATTGTAAAATACATCAGCCAAGATATTCATTTACGATTAAATTTAGTCGGTTGACCTTCGAAGAATCGAAATACAAGCAATACAATATTATTTCCCCGTCGCAAACTCTAATTGGCTATTGATATGAGCGCAGTTACGAACGCTCTCATCTTATTTTCACAAGTGTATATCCTTTTTCTAACATATTTTCATACGATTGTCTCCAGAATGAAGGAGGTGGAGATGAAAGCCGGCATTTGGCGGGAGGTGGCACAAGACAGATAACTGAATGATTCTCACTTCGGAAGCCAAGAGACACTGTTTGGGTCGCAGAGCCAGTGTAGTTAGATTGTCCTGATTTTAACATGTGTGATGTTTGAGAGTAAAAAGTTAAAGGGATACTCTTCTTTAATAAATTCCCAGAGGCTCTTTTATCTCTGCCTTTTAATAAATGTAAGAAATGTATTAAAGAAAAGCTGTGTAAAAAAGCTTACTATAAAGTTAACGATTATCTAGTTGATAAAAGGGCCTGGGACTAGTGCTAGACAGGCAACTTCTAATTAATTTGCGATTAAAATAAGTGTTGTTTGATGATTTGCTATTTTAAAAGAGTACCGAGAGTTTTTTACGCCGGCTTTTTCTCTCGGCCTACACCCTCTGTCTTCTTTGCCGATGAGTAGGGATTAGTAATTGTATCTTATAATCCATAATAAACATATTTTTATTTAAAAAAAAAGTTATCTTATAAATTTCATATGTCAATAATGTATTACATTTGAATTCCAATAAACGAGATCCATGTGTACAAGAATGGTTTAATCACTTACCATTTCTCCAAATAAATGGCCAACCCCTTCAAGAACAACTCTTGCGATATCGTATGGTTCAGCATTCGTATGAGATTCGCTCCCTTCGCGTACGATATTTCGTCGAACTTCTGCGATATCTCTGACGCGTCAATAACTTGTCTTGATACGGGGGACGTGTTTTTAAGCGAATCCGTTCGGAGGAGGCTCATTTTGTCTCTGGTAAATGATAGGAGCATTTCCCATTCTGGTTCAATCTGAAAATGCACGTAATGGAAGCGAACATTTATATATTACAAAACTGTTTGCCAGAACCAGTCTGTTGCACAGATTCCCGTTAACAAAGACGTTGCGCCTACTGAATGCTGTCTCTGACACTATCGACTATAAGGGCTCATGCCCACGAGACGGTTTGAACACGGCCCGGTTTTTGGCCGGCGCCGGGTAGCAACCGTCCGAGCTTGCACACAAGACGGTTTGTACACGACCCGGTTTCATCGAGGTGCCGCCTTCATACGCTCTTTTCATTCAATGAATTGTGGACGTATAAAATGTTGAGTGTTAAAAAGAGGAAATGTATTATTGCGTGGTACATGTATAAAAAGCTAAAAAAAGACGAGAAAAAATACATAGACGACATTGGGTACCTCCCATTTGTATCTTCATGTTTAAGTTTGGGTCGTGCACAAACCGTCTTGTGTGCAAGCTCGGACGGTTTCTACCCGGCGCCGGCCAAAAACCGGGCCGTGTTCAAACTGGCTCGTGGGCATGAGCCCTAATATGTTCGCAGAGTGAGTTCACAGTAGCGATATTGTGAATCTTTATTTAATACTAGCTGACCCGGCAAACTTCGTTCCGCCTAACAGTCTAATAATATCGTGATAACTTTAGTTAAACTTATTTTAGGATTTCATTAAGGTTAACATTAATACAACTTTTTTTTGCAAATACATAAATGTTTTATTGCTTGCTATTGCGAAAGAAGGCCCACATTAGGCCTCTTCTCTCTAGCGCCAATATTGTGATACTGCATGTTAAAGCACTTTTTGATATACAAAATTTTTTGATGAGGTAACACGTCTTCGATCAAGATCAAAGCCTGGTTATGCATCTCCTCATTCACATTTCTTGAACTGACTCGAATTCGACGTAAAATGAAGCGTAATTTTGTCAACAGATGGCACTACATGCTGTTTGCATTCGGAAAATTAATTAATTTATTGTAATTCGATAACTTATCCGATATTTTACTACTTATTCTGCTATTCGGAGCGGAGAAGAATCCATTAAACAAGAGATAACTAACATCGGTGTAGCCTATCTTGAGTTATAAGTGGTGTAACTAACACGACTTTTTTTATATATATTTAGATTATAGATTTCATTTTATTTGTTTATCGTATTACTGTAAGGATTATAAATGTATTTGTGTGAATAAATAAATAAAAAAAAGATAAAGGCTATCATATGCTACTACCAATAGTAGCGGATCATGAATAAAAAATGCTGCAAAAACGGGAATAAATATTAGCAATATTTTTTAAACATTTAACCTTCCTCTTGAAAGCATTACCAATTCTTAAAAGGCCGGCAACGCACTCGCGAGCCCTTGGCATTGAGTGTCCATGGGGGGCGGTATCACTTAACATGTGAGCCTGCCCGTTTGCCCTCTGTTCTATAAAAAAAATTACACGGCAGTGATCTATAACTTCTGGAAAGGCAATTATATTTTCTACGATACTACTAACTCTGTTTATTAATTTAGTAAAAATCTTCTCATCTTACATGGTTAACGCCAACATACTCGATATAGGTAGCAAATCCCTCGTTCAGCCACAGATCAGTCCACCACTTCATGGTGACGAGATTCCCGAACCACTGATGAGCCAACTCGTGTGAGACATCAATGGCCACTCCCCGTTTCTCACCCGGCATACCTTCCTTTTCGTCGAATAAGAGGGTTGTTTCTCTATAACGAGGAATTTTACCTTATTTTAACAGAAAAGCAAAATGGACGTGGCTAATGTCAAGTGAACTCGCCTCGTCGAAGGTCGAGCGCGTCACTCGCTAGTACGATGAAAAAAAAACATCGTTAAGCCTTAGAATCATAATTCGACATGTGTGACGCAGAAGGCTGATCACCTCCTTGCCTATTAACAAAAAAATAATTGTCTGTGAAGTCGGTTTACGGACGATACTTTAACGTGACATCGTCATAACAAAACATTGATGAAATGATTGCATACTATTATGAATAAAAATTGAATATTTTTTTATTGAATGATTACTATTTCGTATGGATACAGAGAAAGAGTGAATCCTCGTCCGCATAGGCTAATCGAGTGGAAGAGGGATAGATGCGGCGCAAGCGTAACGGTACAATGAGCGTAACGGGACAGTGAGTCATGCTTTTCGTGCGAGCAGCTGGTGTGCATCGATTTATTAGACGTCGTCAAGTCAAAAACACGAAATTTGATGTCTGTTTTTTAAAGTAAAAGAATAAGGTTTACCTGAATGTAATCAAACCCCAGTTCTCCATAGCGCCGCTGGAGAAATCCGGTATCGCGATCAGATCCAACTTGTCCAAGGCATAAGGCACCCCGAACACTTCTTCATAGAACGCCAGCAATTTCGGTGTTATTGTCAACGCGTAATTGGCTTTGTGTATGAGCCCCGGTTGCGTCCAAACCCTTATTGGTTTAAGTTTATTGTCTTTTCCTGTATAATTTGTTTCTACATAGCTAAAATCTGACAGTACATAAGCAACTAAGTATGTAGACATGTTGACTGATCGTTCGAAGTGCGTCCATTGCCAACCAGGGTCTTCTGATCTGAAAAGTTTTAAAAAGATAAATATATTCTTCTCATTCTGTCAATAGGTGGCGTTGTACATAATTTTTTCCAAGAAATATTAGCCTAGTTTCAAATATCGGGAAGCAAAATCTAACGACACTCGAAATTACTAGCGAAGATGCAGACACAAAACAGTTGGTTAAATGTAATATTGGCCAAGCCATGAAGAGAAAGTGGTCTATTCCAACATTCGAGGTTGGTATCGCATTCTACCTATATACGAGAAAAATTTCGATTGACGAATGAATGCAAAATTATTTTTATTTGTAGTGGCCAGTAGCATTGCGCACTTGAATAAAAACTTTTTGTCAGAAAGCAAAAAAAATAAACGCGGCAACTGCGACCTCTATAAAAAAGCTATGACGTTATTACAAACTCAAATGTAGTATATAAATGGTAAGTTATATAACAATTACAATTTAAATATTAATGTCTTTATTCGTTTGACAACAAATCATTATAACATATAAGTTTTTTTGAACCATTTTAAGTAAAAAAATACCTGTGTCAGGGTTCCCACCTCTTCCATAACAAACTTTATAGTAAATTCCATAAAAAAAATATATATAATATATAATTTAATTAAAAAAAAAATATTTATTTAAATTACAATGTACATGTACTCACTAACTATGTATTAAATCTACAGAGAGCAGTAATAATAATATTTTTAAAATACATACTAAAAAAATATTACACAAAAGATTGCTGTCACATGGCCATTTTTCTATGAATTTAGTATGTACAAAAAAACAATTAATCACAGTAAATCAATATTAGAATTTAAAAAAAATATCAAAAAACTTACATAGGCTCCTGCATAGCAACCTTCATGTTTGAGAGAACCGATATATTCTGTGGATGTGCAATGCTGATTTCGAACTTGGCTTTAAATGCAGGCTCATCAAAGCACGGGAAGGCTGCACGGGCTGAGGTAGGTTCAAATTGAGTTGCTGCTAGCTCTCTAAAAATTGTCAATTTAAGAGTTATTTGTTTATTAGTATATGAATAACATTTCAAAAACATTTTCATTCAGGGTTTAGGTAAGTTAATTACATGTGTTTATTTAATTCCTTAATTATAAAAGAGTTAATATAACCTGCTGTCAAAATTATTATAATATTATCTATGGCTATGGATCTAATGCTGAAGTAAAACATACCTTATTTCATTATTGGCATCTTTGTAACTGCTCTTATAGAAGCCAGTTAACGAATTACTAATTCTTCCTTCAAATGAGAGCTGCAGAGTATAATCTACATTTGGGTTCAAGATTGTTTCTAATGTCAATATTAATCTATCACCAGAACTGGCCCTCATTGATAGAATTTGTATATTCCGCACATGACTATGTGTTACTTGAGTTTGCAGTGTCGGAATTGTGACAGGCTCAGATTCTATGGTTGTAGTTATAGCTTCAGTTGAATTCTCAATGTTTGTATCAGTTGCACCCTCTGTCGTAATACTTTCTGTTGCATTTTCTGTATCACGTTTAATCCTGTCTGCTTTTAATGTATCTACTTCTTCATAAATTTGTTCAGTTAAGGTTGCATTATTAATTATTAAACCTTTTGAGTGTAATATTATTTCTTTGACTTTTTGCTTGGCATGTATTGTGATGTATGCATTTCCAGTGAAAAGTGACTGATTTAAATCTGCTTTTATTTTTAGTCTGTAGAAGCTTGGCACAACTGTTGAGGGAAGTCTCAAGTCTGGTGCCGGTGAACTTGATTGACCAAAAGGCTCTGCTTCATTCCAGAAGTCTTCTGACTTATGCGCAACCTGTAAAAGTTAAGGCTGAATTTTAATTTTGCACAAAAAATAAGAATAATAAATGTTTGTAGTCGACTAGTGAGCAGGTATTTTACAGGGCATAAAGCATCTTAGACTTTAGTAAGTTATGTATTCAAGGAAAACTTGCACTCTCAGTTTTGGGTGACTTAAGGAAGGACATGTCTATGCAAAACTTTATTTTTCCTTATAGGACGATTAAGATAATTTTAAACTTCACAATGAAACAACATCACATAAAGAGAATAATACTGAAAATAGATAATGTTATATTAAATTAATTTATTAATTCTCAAAATGATAAGGAATTTATTTTAATTATTTAATATTAGCTCTTGTATCATTTGATCATTGGTATATTAAAACGACAGAAAAAAATTAGAATTGCGGCTACCACATCCTTGATTGAGAATTAAAAAAGTGGTTTATATTTTTTTACATAATGGTGTGCTACGTTTAGCTCATTACTTACATTGTTACTCTCACACCTCACTATAAAATGTAAAGCTAAATATACAAATAGTGTTTTTAACACATATAATGACATGTTAATAACTAGTTAAGTTTATGTTTATTAAAATACTTTGTTTACGACCAAAATATATTATAATTTAAGTATAAAAATCTTTGGTATTAGTTCCACATTGTAACTTATAAATGTTAACACATTATTTAATATAATTTACTAAATTTAGTCGATTAATTATTAACTACAAACGAGAACAACTGCGGTGTTCGTTTGAATTTTGATATTTACGAACATAAAGTGACATTTGACACTTGACAAATGGTAGTTTAAAGTATGCCCTTGATCCAGAAAATATGAAAAAAATCCAACGATTTTGAAGGTATGGGTATGTATGTTTTTGCCGAAAAATTAATTATCGTATAATATAATTATATAAATATATAATTAAAATTCATTATATATTAGCTATTTCGTCACCACACTCTCCACGAGTCGCAAAATCGAAATCACAATAACTACAACAGAATAACATAAGAATTTGACCTAAGTAGGAATAATATTATCATTAGGGCAAAGGGCGATATTTTAACGCAAATTCGCTTACGTAATTCACCGATAAAATTTGTTAATTCATAAAATTATTAGGCTTTATCTATAGGTTATCACAACTTTGATACCTACAGTAAAATGATATTTATAAGACAATAAAAAGCACGACATAATAATTAACTAATGTCTAAAATAATAAAATTTATGAAAATTGCTTCTAAACATATCTCATCTACTTCTATTACTTCATAAATTAGTATTCACATCAAGTCAAAAGCTCTACTTCCGAATTGTTAGATATATTCGAGGTAATTGTAATGGACACCGAAGATATCTGATGTGAGTTGACTTCTATATTTTTTGGACTCTTTTATTGTAGGGATGATGTCTAGCAAAAACTTCTAAATTAAAATTACCGTATAGTAAGTGATGTAATAGACGATAATTCCAACTAGAGCGGCGACCAAGGCAGCACAGATGACGAAGCCGACACAAATGCAGGTGGTTATAAAGATTCCGCCTTTTCTCTCATAGTGGATTGCCGGGTCACCGTGTGTTTCATATGCTAGGAACTGCTGCCGACTGCGTGATAGCGACATCTTTTATTCTGGAAAGTAAGATTAAATACTTTATATTTATTTATTAAAGTTCACCACATCGTATGCTTAATCTTCATTCTACAGTATACTCTTATTTTACGAGCTATCTATTCTAAAATACATGACAATTATAATAAATAAAATAAATAAATCAGTGGCGCTACAACCCCTTTAGGTCTTGGCCTCAGATTTCTGAATCTGTTTCACGATCATTTTTAAATATTATAGGCAAGTAGGTGATCAGCCTTCAGTGCCTGACACACCGTCGACTCTTTGGGTCTTAGACATGTCAGTTTCCTCACGATGTTTTCCTTCACCGTTCGAGCAAATGTTAAATGCGCACATAGAAAGTTCATTGGTGCACAGCCGGGATCGAACCTATGACCTCAGGTATTAGAGTCGCACGCTGAAGCCACTAGGCCAACACTGCTCTACATGACAATTATGGTGAATAATAATTATTACAAAAAATAAACAATAATTTAAGTATGAATAAAAAAATCCAGCATCAAAATATTGTACCATATACTATTCTTACAATGTTTGTTTCTAAATTAAGTTTAGCCACAAGTGTATTTTACCTTTAGTCTTCTCAATAAGTCTGTTCGGAAATTTTAATGTAAAGCAGTTTCTCAGTAAACGTACTAAGGAAATTAGTAACAACACTATAAAATAAAGTGTTTTACGTATTATAAATTCTTTTTTTATGAGGTAAAGTGAAAGGAGGTAGGTTCTATAGCTCTACATACCATACCAGTAGTGTCAAAGACTAAAGTTCTTTGTCAACTGACGTTTCCTTGCAATATTAAACAAATTGTTTTACAGTTCAGTATGACATTAATTAGCATCTAATGTTAAGAAAACCGGTCGATTGTTATCACTAATATATAGCATTTAAATTACCATGTAATATATAGGTAGTGGTATGTGTTTGTATTATTATCGCACACCTGCTCCTTAGCGAATCGCTTGTATGCGGGTCGCGATAAAACTCGTAACTGTTATGCATTTTCGTACTACCAAAGACAAAAAAGTATTTACTATAAACATTCGTATTTGGAACGTATTTGTATTTGTAATATTATGCTAATTTAAATGAAAAAGTGCGTGCGTACAAAGTACACATGTCGGAAGTGAAACTTCTTTGTAAATTAATTATTACTAAGGTAAAGGCCCCAATAGATGATCATGTACCAGTACATGATCACTCCATGTATTTGTATATCTAAATTCACCCTGTATACGTGCTAATGATAGTAAAATAAATAAAAAATCTGCGTTTACTGCACAAGACGTTATGCGATAGAAATGCCATCTAAAGTTCTAATATGTAACTACTAAACGAATACATCAACCAATATCGTGTATTTCCCTTAGAGAGAGCTCTATAGCTCTATATCTTTCTCACTATAGCTCTCTGCCACCTCTCGCTCCATGGCACTGTGCATGATAAGAGTTTCGTTCTATCTCACTCTCTCTCTATCCCCGGCTGTGCATCAATTTACTTTCTTTCTATGTGCGCATATAACATTCGCGCGATGAAGGAAAACATTGTAAGGAAACCGGCTTGCCTTTGATCGACAGCGTGTCAGGCATAGGTGGCAGTGATCACCTACTTGCCTATTAGATTGAAATGATCATGAAACAGATACATAAACCTAAGCCAGACCTAAAAAGGTTGTAACTGGTGTAAAAAGTTAGATTATTATTATTTAAATAGAAAATATCAACGTCAGTTACAGATATGGCCTTTGTAACTTATGTCTTCATAGTCACGAGATAGTCTATCTTCCATAAGGTGAACACACCAATTTAGATTTCAGAGCTGTCAAACCGATATTGCTAAGTTAATGGGAGGAAATTGTATCTTAGGTATTTCGACTTAAAGTATAAGAATGTACTGAATTTTTTTTTGTTCTCAAACATCAAACAGAAAGAAAAAGGACAGTCAGATACTTATGAAGGTATGTTATAGAAAGGATTTAAACGTGTGTGAGTGTGTGAGAAAATAACAAGAGAACTTATGAAGGCGCAGCGCTAACTAGATCCATGCAAGTATCTTCACAAATCAACAATGGGCGTGGAGAGGGGGACGCAACCGCCGCATCGCATGACGGTAAGCGGATAAGCGGATACCGCATCCCGCCTAAGGCGGCGATTGCTGGTGGCGCCTTGGGATTTTAGTGGGTATGCACAATCGCGAGTCCCACATAACCCTCCCGCACTAAGCAGTCGCACCGCGGTAGGGTATGCGCAATACATTACCCCAAGTCAAAAACACAATCTATGAACAAGACCATTAAACGATGAGCACAAGCAAGTTTGTCCTTGTTCGTCGTATAGTAGCCGCCTGTATGTTCAATAGCAAAGAAGCGCGTGATTAGCGCATTAGATAATGGCAAAAAGATTACAAAAATGAGTAAATGTAATTTACATTTAAACGAGATAAGAGTGATTCATTTTTATTAACACAAAAGCCAATTAGACTAAACAGGAGTACCTACAATGATAATGACCTATTCGCCTCAAGTGTGGTGTCGGCAAGGAGAGCTATGGCATCTGAGCTCCTCAGTGGAATGAATGATGAACAATAAGTTTTTATAAGTGTATAAGTTATACTTAACTGTAAAGTGTTACTTAATCAATTTTGACTTAGTTTATTACTTTCTTTGATATATATTTGTATAGTTGATTAAAATTATTTTAGTGTTACCAATCCAGTTAATATTATTAGTACTTAACTATTTGTAACGATTTATTTAATGGCGTAAAAGAACATTGTATTTAGTAAGTAGTTACTAATGAGCTGTAAATCTTTCTCAATAAATAAAAAAAAAGGTGTGACACTTGTAGAATTTAGATGTCGCTATTGATATATAATATTTTAGTTATTATATTTTAAGGTTAGTTATTATTTTTCTGGTATTAACTAAAACGTAGACTAACAGAATAAATCACAAAAAATTATACAAATAATGTTTTGCGAAATACATTGCTAATATTGAACAAAGCTTAAATCTATATACATAATACATTTTATATACAAACTAGCAGACTCGGCCAAGCTTTGCCGTGGCTAAAGTTTTTGTTATATAACATAGTAGTAAACTATTCAAGGGAAACGGTAGGAGAACACCAGTCATGGGGACCCATGGGGACCATCGTTTTTGGGTGGTTATACCATTAAACTGTAGCTTATTTGAAACGTTGGTACTTTCAACACAGCGCCATCTGTTAGAATTGTGACTGGCAAATAATAAACAAATATATTTGTATAAAAGTATGTAAGAGTATAAAATTAAGATGTAAGCTATCCTATCTTTTAAGTTGAATCAAACTGCACACGGTGTGCAAATTTAATTTAAAATCGGTTAATTAGTTTAGGAGACCATAGCGGACAAACAACGTGACGCGTGATTTATATATATTAAGATAATAAGTGGTCCTTCAATTTGTACGGATCTTGATCTCATAACTATATCTGTTTCATTAATCACTTCCTATATAGGCTTTTTATTTATGAACTCATATTTAAGTTTACGTTTGAAGTTTCAATAACCTTGTTTATATCTAGTTTAAGCTGGTATTTGATAAGAAACTTATGATATTTCCGCAAAAAGATTTAATGATGTTTAAGTTTATTTATTTATTACAGAAATAGATACATTATTCTTACAGACTATGTCAATACGATAATGTAGACACGATATCCCTACTGTGAATTCACTCTGCAAGCATATAAATATGTACTTAATTCATATTATATATTTGTTGCCAAAAGTTACGTTATTATGTTTTCATAATAATACCTTCAATTTAAATATTTTAACGATTTTTTCTAACCGAAAATAACTAAGTTAATATTGTTACATTGTGTTTCTATGGTGATTTTATCTGACGATGACGTAATAATAGACTCCGGGTCATTCAACTCTTGTATATAAACTTTATGTATAAAAATGTAATATAAAGACAAAATCAAAATACGATTATTCAATTAAGATGCGTCTTAGCACATGCTTATGAATGTCAAAAACGTTTACAAAATTCGCGAAAGAGCAAGACTACGCCATCCGTTCCCAAAACTACCAGGAGGCCTTGTTCTGAGAAGAACGGGCAAGAAACTCGGCAAGTTTTAACCTCCCTCTACATAACAATTATTCAAAGGAAATTGTCATAAACCACAACGTCATTAAAGTTACATAAGTAAAAAAATATAAAAATCTGTTCTGTGATTTACCACATTCACCATTACACACAAATCAGATTATAAGAACATAATTAAAACTATTGCTAAGCGTTTTTATCTTCCAGGTAGTCATTGACTGTGTAGTAACCTTTACACATTAAGGTTTTTTCGATATGTGTTTTGAATCTGTTTAAAGGCATTTCCAATGCATTTAGATAGGCATTTAGATATAAGTTAAACATGTTGTTGCACAATACGTTAACTACTAACAATATACAATTAAATTGTGGCTTAGGTACACTACCTAATTTAATGGACATAAATTGTATATTTAAAAATAAGTATGTATTGACAAAGGATAGGTTCCGCCTACCTAATTATTATTTACAACAGATAGCTACTATGCTATCTTACTTTTTATTTACAACTAAAGCTAAACATTTAGCTTTTCAGACAACTGCTTCTATTGAGCAGCTAGCTTTTCAGACAACTGCTTCTATTGAGCAGCTTAGCTTAAGTGAATGTAGTGATACTTGCAGTAGCACTTCATTAAGTATAAATAATTTAAATTAGATAGTGTGACAATAGAGGCAAACTCTAGCAATAATTTAGTACAACTCAGCTCAACACAAACATGTTATATTACTAACAACAACTGTTTAAACTTGATGCATCAAAACATGCAAGGTATGTTGGGCAAAGAATTAGAATTGGAGTTGTTTTTAAAATCAAGTAAAATTGATGTCCTATGCATTACCGAACATTGGCTTAGAGAATGCCAAATCATCTTTAACTTTGATCAGCACCAAGT